TTTGTCCAGTATATACTAACTGATCACAAGAGAAACATATTGCTATTCCGATTTCAGGAGCATATGAACCACTATTTAGCAATCGTATTAATCTTCTAGCTTCAAGATATTTTTTACTTTTATTAGGTAATAGATTATTCTTTCTGAAATATGTAAGACGTTCCCAAATCCGTTCCATCCACTCACTAGGAGTTTCATTAACACAAATTTGTGGCATATTACAATATTCAATCCATTCAGCATCAGTACAATCAGTTTCACGAGTATTTATGCCAACCATTTTATGACTTATTATAGTGTGTTTTAGAAATTATATGATTTATATTCTATTTAGAGATTTATTGCAAAGCAATGACTCTTTGGGTTTAAACCTATTAGATTTGGTTTAATATTGATAGTTAAAACCAGATTCATTTTTTGTATAGAATTTGAATAGAAGTTTATATATATAAAACTTTGCTAATTCTTAATGCAATTAAAAATAACCTTAAATGATGCTTGTAATTTTGCCAGAGCTCACAATGGTTTGTGTCTTTCAAATACATATATTAATATTTCTACACCATTGAGATGGAAATGTTCTAGAGATCATGAATGGGATGCTCCACTTGATAGAATAAAATATAAGAATACTTGGTGCCCTGTTTGTGAAGGTCGACATTCTTTTCATCTTGAAATCGCTAAAAAGATTGCTATAAATAAAGGTGGATTATGTCTTTCTATCCAATGTACAGCTACCAAAGAATTATTAGAGTGAAGATGCTCTAAAGGTCATGAATGGTCAGCAACCTATAACAATGTTATACAAGGTAAAAATTGGTATATAAAATGTTCGCATAGAAAGCCTTGTACTCTTGAAGATGCTATAAAAGTCGCACATGCTAGAAATGGAAAATGTCTTTCTGAAAAATTTATTAATAGTAAGTCACTATTATTATGGTGCTGTGCTGTAAGTCATGAATGGAATGCTAGTCTCGATAGTGTAAAAAATAAAAACACATGGTGTCCACATTGTGTAGGAGGTAGACCCCGATATACCCTTTAAGATGTTAGAAAAATTGCACATGATAGAAATGGGAAATGTCTTTCTGAAAAATATATTAATAGCATGACAGCTTTATCGTGGTGTTGTTCTAAAGGGCATGAATAGAATGCAACATTTAATAGCATTAAAAATGCAAATTCATGGTGTCCCCATTGTTCTGGACGATATGCTTGTAATATTGATCAAGCCAAGCAAATTGCATTTAGCCGGAATGGTGAGTGTCTATCTACCTTATATTTTAATAATTATTCAGATCTATTATAGAAATGTGTTAAAGGACATATATGGTATGCAATGCTTAATGCTGTTAAAGATCGAAATACCTGGTGTCCATTCTGCCTTAAATATAAAAGAGAACAGTTATGTCGTGAAATTTTAACAGAATATCTTGGATCTCCTTCACTAACCCGCAGGCCTGAATTCTTAAAAACACCAGAACATTCCATAGGTTTAGAACTTGATATATTTTATCCTGAATATGGTTTTGCAATTGAAGTACAAGGAGTGCAACATGAAAAATATATTGAATTCTTTCATAATGACGATCCCAATAATTTTATTAAACAGCAAGAGCGAGATCAACTCAAGAAAGAATTGTGCAAAGAAAACTGGATTGCTTTAAGGTATGTCTGGTATTATGAAGATCCATATATAGTTATTCCAGAACATCTTCGAGAATTGGGTCTTATTAAGTAAATTTAAAACTTTAAATACTTCTACGTTTTACTAATCAGGTAATTATTTTTTTCAGTAAGCATATATTCCGCAAAAATAATTCAGCTTCCAGTTATTTATTTATATACTAAGAATTAACAAGTAGTAAGCTTAATATTCAAAATATTACTAACATCAAGATTACTTAATGCAAAAAAAAAACATTCTCTCTACTTTAATTTTATGATTATATCAATCAAAAACATGTAGTCGTTCACAAACATCAAAAGTATTGGCCCTGCGAAATTCCACCCAATATACCCGTCCAACAATAGGATCTCGTCGTCCTGTCACATTGTTATGATAGTTTTCATATAATCGTGCAATGGCATGTTCCATTGTTTGCATATCGTTAAATGCGAATACAGAATTTGATTGTGCCAGGTCTGCCCTTGGAAATGCGATAGGAGTATAGTTTGGAGTTCCTCTGATCACTAATCCAAAAAATAGTTAGAAAACTTTTTTAATAGATTATATAATATTTATGTTATACCTGCGCTAACATCATTTTCAGTGATATTTCGGACTGCGAGACCCGGTGGAGTGATAGTGCGGCTTGCGAGACCCGGTTGATTATATTCGATGACTAATAATGGGTCGTTACAAAAAATTTCATCGTCATCATTCCTATGTTTATTTTGAATAATGTCACCCCATAAAGCAACTTGTTTTTTTGTTTTTTCAGAAAATCCCGTTGGAAATCTCATTTTTACATTGAAGTAGTTTTCCCTAAGAAATATCTTGTGAGTATTAGCATTTGTCAATTTGAAAAATGACGAATGTACACTCCCCTGACATTGATCACCGGAATTTTGATTTTCACGTTACCTAATGATGATCGTAGCCACATATGTA